ACCAATGGGTCTTGACTCTTTATCCAATTTGCCAGTGTCTTAACTTGGGCATTTAGCCCATTTACATTTATGGTTAATTTTTTTATGTGTGAATTTGATCCTGTCATCATGATGCTATCTGGTTATTTTATTTTGGTGTTTCTGCAGTGTCTGGTACCAGTTTCCCCTTTCCATCTTTAGTGCTTCCTTGAGGAGCTCTTGAAAGGCAGGCCTGGTGGTGATTAAATCCGTCAGCATTTGCTTTTGTAAAAAGGATTGTATTTCTCCTTTGCTCATGAAGCTTAGTTTGGCTGGATATAAAATCCTGGGTTAAAAATTGTGAATCGGCAACCAACAGAATGGGAAAAGATTTTTGCGGCCTACCCATCTGACAAGGGGCTGATATCCAGAATTTACAAAGAACTAAAGCAGATTTACAAGAAAAAAACAAACAAGCCTATTCAAAAATGGGCGAAGGATATGAACAGATACTTTACAAAAGAAGACATACAGGAGGCCAACAAACATATGAAAAAATGCTCATCATCACTGGTCATCAGAGAAATGCAAATCAAAACCACATTGAGATACCATCTCACACCAATTAGAATGGCGATCATTAAAAAATCGGGAAACAACAGATGCTGGAGAGGATGTGGAGAAATAGGAACACTTTTACACTGTTGGTGGGAATGTAAATTAATTCAACCATTGTGGAAGACAGTGTGGCGATTCCTCAAGGACCTAAAAATAGAAATCCCATTTGACCCAGCAATCCCATTACTAGGTATATATCCAAAGGATTATAAATCATTCTACTACAAGGACACGTGCACACGAATGTTCATTGCAGCACTCTTTACAATAGCAAAGACCTGGAACCAACCCAAATGCCCAACGATGATAGACTGGATAGGGAAAATGTGGTACATATACACCATGGAATATTAAGCAGCCATCAAAAACGATGAGTTCACGTCCTTTGTAGGGACATGGATGAACCTGGAAACCATCATTCTCAGCAAACTGACACAAGAGCAGAAAATCAAACACCGTATATTCTCACTCATAGGCGGGTGTTGAACAATGAGAACACATGGACACAGGGAGGGGAGCACTACACACTGGGGTCCGTTGGGGGGAAATGAGGGAGGGGCGGGGGGGGTGGGGAGGTGGGAAGAGATAGCATGGGGAGAAATGACAGATACAGGTGAGGGGACAGAAGGCAGCAAACCACACTGCCAAGTGTGTACCTATGCAACAATCTTGCATGTTCATCACATGTACCCCAAAACCTAAAATGCGATAAAAAAAAATTATTTTCCTTAAGAATGTTGAATATTGACCCCCACTCTCTTCTGGCTTATAGGATTTCTGCTGAGAGATCCACTGTTAGTCTGTTGGATTTCCCTTCGTAGGTGACCTGGTCTTTCAGGCTGTCCTTAACATTTTTTCCTCCATTTTGACCTTGGAGAATCTGATGATTATGTGTCTTGGAGTTGGTTGACCTTTTCGTGTAGTATCTTAGTGGTATTCTCTGTATCTGAATTTGAATGTTGGCCTGTCTTGCTAGATTGGGGAAGTTCTGGATAATATCCTAAAGTGTATTTTCCAACTTGGTTCCATTCTCATCTCTTTGGGGTACTCCAATCAATTATAAGTTCAGTCTTTTCACATAGTCCCATATTTCTTGGAGGCTTTGTTTGTTCTATTTTATTCTTTTTTCTCTAATCTTGTCTTCATGCCTAATTTCAGCAAGACGGTCTTCAAACTCTGATATCCTTTCTTCCACTTGAGCAATTCAGCTATTGATATTTGTGTATGCTTCATGAAGTTCTCGTGCTGTTTTTCAGCTCCATCAGGTCATTTATATTCCTTTCTAAACTGGTTATTCTTGTTAATAGCTCCTGTAACCTTTTGTCAAGGTTTTTAGCATCTTTGCATTGGGTTAGAACATGCTTCTTTAGCTCAGAGGAGTTTTTTATTACCCACTTTCTGAAGCCTACTTCTGCCAATTCATCAGTCTTACTCTCCCTCCAGTTTTGTGCCCTTGCTGGAGAGGAGTTGCGATCTTTTGGAAGGGATAAGGCATTCTGGCTTTTGGAATTTTCAGCATTTTTGTCCTGTATTTACCTCATCTTTGTGGATTTATCTACGTTTGATATTTGAGGCTGATGATCTTTGGATGGGGTTTCTGTGGGATGCTCTTTTTTGTTGATATTGATGTCATTTTCTGTTTTTTAGTTTCTCTTCTACCAGCCAGATCCCTCTTCTGCAGACTCTTGCAGTTTGCTGGAGGTCCACTCTAGCCCTGTTTACCTGGGTGTCACCAGTGGAGGCTGCAGAACAGCAAAGATTGCTTCCTGCTCCTTCCTCTGGAAGCTTCATCCCAAAGGGGCATGGGCCTGATACCAGGTGGAGGTCTCCTGTATTATTAAGTGTCTCTCAACACCTGTTGGGAGGTCTCTCCCAGTTAGGAGGCATGGGGGCGTCAGGGACTTGCCTGAGGAGGCAGTCTGTCCCTTAGTAGAGCTGGTATGCTGTGCTGAGAGAATTACCCCTGTCAGAATCAGCCACTCTCTTCAGAGCAAGCAGGAAGGAAAGATTAAGTTCAGCTGAAGCTGTGACTGCAACTGCCCCTCCCCTCACGGGCTCTGTCCCAAGGAGATGAGAGTTTTGTCTGTAAGCCCCTGACTAGAGCTGTGGATTTCCTGCAGAGACACACTGCCCAGTGAGCAGTAATCTAGAGAGGCAATCTGGCCACAGCCGCTTTGCTGCACTGTGGTGAGTTCCACTCAGTCCCAACCTCCCAGCCTCCTTAGCACTGTCAGGGGAAAACCGCCTACTAAAGCCACAGTAATGGTGGCCACCCCTCCCCCGACTCAATTATCAAACTCAATTATCTCAGGCCGACTCCAGACTGCTGTGCTGGCAGTGAGAATTTCAAGTCAGTGGTTCTTAGCTTGCTGGGCTCCATGGGATTGAGACACGCTGAGAGAGACCTCTTGGCTCCCTGGCTTCAGCACCCTTTCCAAGGGAGTGGATGGTTCTCCTGTCTCACTGGAGTTCCAGGAGTATGAAAAAACTCCACAGCTCAGTGCCTGCCCAAACAGCTGTACGGTTTTGTGCTTGAAACCCAGGGCCCTGGTGGTCTTGGCCCAGGAGGGAATTTCCTGAGCCACAGATTGCAAAAATCCACGGGAAAAGCATAACCCCACAGTGGGTGGTAGCACAGTCCCTCACTGCTTCCCTTGGCTTGGGGAGAGAGGTCCCCGAGCTCTGTGCACTTTCCAGGTGAAGCAATATCCCACCCTGCTTCTGCTCACTCTCTGTGGGTTGCACCCACTGCCTAACCAGTCTCAATGAGATGAACTTGGTACCTCAGTTAGAAATACAGTAATCACCTGCCTTCTGCACTGGTCTTACTGGGAGCTGCAGACTGGAGCGGTTTCTATTCAGCCATCTTGGCCCTTCCCCCAGGTTATTTTCTTTCCGTGTCTTTGTGTGGTTTTCGTATTAATCTGGCTTCTTAAAATGAATTAGGATATAGTCCCTCTGCTTGTATTTTCTGGAAGACATTATAGATAATTAGGATAATTTCTTCTTTAAAAGTTTGGTAGAATACACCAGTAAATCTGTCTGGACCCTGTGCTTTCTTTGAAAGGTTATTAATTATTAATTCAATTTCTCAATTTCTTTAATAGGTACAGGCCTTCTCAGACTGTCTCATCTTTTTTATGTGAGTTTGGCAGATTGTGTCTTTCAAGGAATTTGTCCATTTCACTTAGGTTATGAAGTTTGTAGAAATGGTTATTTATAGCATTCCTTTATAATTCCTTTAATTTCTATGGGATCTGGAGTGGTATCCCCTCTTTCATTTCTGATATTAATAATTTGGGTCTTCTCTCTTTTTTCCTAGCCAGACTAGAGATTTATTGATTTCACTGGCCTTTTCAAAAAATCAGCTTTTGGTTTTGTTGATTTTTTCTCTATTGATTTTCTGTTTTTAAATGCATTGATTTTAGCCCATGGTATGCTTTTTTCCAATGATAATTAATGAATTTTAATGTTCTATCCTTTCATTAGGTTAAAAGGCTACAAACAAATTTTCCATTCTTCTCACTTAACGAATTTATTACACATTGTCCATTGTGTACCACAAAGTTTGCAAGCGAACATAGGAACAGTCTAATCATAATCATCTTGCTATTAGCCATTCACAAACATCCATGCAGACTGGAAAACACTGTAGTACATTTACTGACTTTATCCAACCCAGCAGTCCTAAATCCAAACACAGCCATCCTGTGAGAATTAATGATGGTTTTCTTTGCTCTCTGATTTCATTTCCTCTTCTTGCTCCGTGTCTTTGTTGAGATTTTTCCTACAAGTCTGCACTTGCCCTAACCCTACACTATCTCCAGGGTCCTGGGATGATGAACCCAGATTTCTCTAGTCTTCTTTGCTGAAAGTGTACTTGTCTTTGGGAGTGAAGCTTCTAAAAGACAGAAACATTTTTCTTTTTTTTTGTTTGTTTGGTTGGTTGGCCTTTTTTGAGATAGAGCTTCACTTTTATTGCCCAGGCTGGAGTGCAATGGCACAATCTTTGCTCACTGCAACCTCCACCTCCCAGCTTCAAGTGATTCTCCTGCCTCAGCCTCCCAAGTAGCTAGGATTACAGATGCCCACCACTATACCTGGCTGTATGTTGGTCAGGCTGGTCTTGAATTTCTGACCTGAGGTGATCTGCCTCCCAAAGTGCTGAGATTATAGCTGTGAGCCACCATGCCCAGCCAGAAACATTTTTCTTAACATTACTTCTCTAAGATCATGACTTTGATTATTTGTTATCCAAAATCACATTTTAACAGAGGGAGGATTTACAGAACAGAAGACAAAGGGGATAGACATACTGTCCTACCACAGTCATAGTTTTGAAATTTTTCCCTTTCATAATTTCTAGACTTAAGGAGCATGGATCAACAAAAGAGAATATATCCCTTTCTTTCCCCAAAAGGCACCTATTTTGAAGATCCAAAATATTTCTTACCAATTAGAAGTCTAAAATGTGTAGTGATTGATGGGATCTTTGGTCTCTAGTTGAGTGTTAAATCTTTAGTCCAGAGAATCTGAAGCGAGGCTCCGTGTACTCCACATCTTTATTTTCTTAGAGTCACGTTCTAACTATTTTTCTGACAAGAAATAAAGAAAAAAAGGAAGGAAGGAAGGAGGGAAGACTGGTCTAGGGTAAATGAGTGAAGAAGGCAATGACCCACAAATATTAGTTTGTTGCGTCACAAGGTAAGATGCTCAAACATCATTCTCATAATCTATCAGTACACCTTTATCAATGAATCCCTTGTGAACTCAAGGGCTTTTTCACACTTAAAAAGAAAAAGGTATCTTACAGTAAAAGTGTTCCTGGAATGACTCCTATGGCATAGTCAACATAGTCTTTGGGACATAATGAAAGAAGTATGCTTGTCAGCCTGCTATGGGATCACAGAAGAGGGCCATTTAGGATGAGGGTAAAATTAACAATAAGGTTCTGATCATATGACCAGCTGGTGGCAAAGTGAGAAATGAACAGGTCTTTCATTCTAATGCTCATTCTTGGATTCGCAGCTGCCTCCTCAGTCTTATTAAATAGTCGACTTTAAATAAGAACTTGCAGAGAGAGAATTTAGCATTGACTTGCTATGATTTGGGATAAGGGAAGAAAGATAAGGTTATCAAAGCTTGACTTTGCCAACTCTGTCATCTGTCCTGGAGCCAACCCTGCTGCTACCATTTCTTTGAGATGGATTTTCACTCTTGTTACCCAGGCTGGAGGGCAATGGCACGATCTTGGCTCACCGCAACCTCCGCCTCCTGGGTTCAGGCAATTCTCCTGCCTCAGCCTCCTGAGTAGCTGGGATTACAGGCACACACCACCATGCCCAGCTAATTTTTTGTATTTTTAGTAGAGACGGGGTTTCACCATGTTGGCCAGGATGATCTCTATCTCTTGACCTCGTGATCCACCTGCCTTGGCCTCCCAAAGTGCTGGGATTACAGGCTTGAGCCACCGCACCCTTGTTCCTCTGATCTAATTTTCCATGCTTCCTACCTCAACCATCCTCAGACCAACACCGCTATACGCACATGAAGGCAGAGCCCCACTTCACATTGCTACACAAAATCCATTGCTATATAGAGAAAGATTTCCTTCCCCCAGTCCCTCCCAACTCGGATCATTCAAAGGTACAGAATGAGGAAGAACGTGCCCTGTTTAAATGTTCTATATGTATACCTGACTGTTTTAGGATAAACCCTGAAATCAGCCCTTCTACAGTCTATGTTTCTTTCTTGTGGATTGCATCCCTATAAACAGGGTACCTTAGGAATTTACTATTGGCCAGCAGGGAATGCACCTCTACAGTTGTACTAAAGCCAGATTTGCATTTATGCTGTATGGATTGATTCATTTGTGGTCGTTTTCTCTTCTCAAAGAGAAGGGGTGAACAACCAAAGTTTAGGCTTTAAAATGGAGAATATCTGACTACTTTTCTTAATTTAATTTAAATTCAGTTTTATGAATTAAAATGGCTGATAGGTAACATCCTAGCTAGAGAAAAATCCAGTGTACTCTGAGCCCCAACTAAGCTGAATTACTTACAGTTTCCAAGATGAGTCATCTCCCTGCCTTTGCACACTTTTCTGCACTTAAAATATCCTGTCTCTTTATTTTTCAAGTAGGAGTAAGGAGGTCAAGCCTCTAACTGTACCACTGTTTCCGAGAGGGAGAGAAATATCACCCTCTGAACTCCCATATCATTTTTTTCTCTGAACAATTCTTATTTTCACCACTAGATTACTAAACCCTTGAAAGCAGACCTCAAAGTATTTATCTCTAAAACCTTTTAATTACAATGAATTCGATTCTATATAAATTCTAAATATGTATATAAATATGCATATGTACATAAACATTATCTACATTTCTATCCTTTCCATTAGTTCGTCAACAATCTGCAAGAATGGTGATACTTAAGACTTTTAGGAATAAATATAAAATGCAAATAAAATACCCATGAGATAACCCAGAGAGGAAAACAGAGAATTCAAGGGACAACGTTGCAGCACAGGCAAGAACAAGAATTCAAGTAAACATCTGGTACATTCTAGAAACTGCTAAAGATCCAGGTGGTAAGACTCAAGCTTCCTGGGATCAGAATGAAGCATTTAATCTGATTGTGAGGTTAACTCTACTTATTCACTTACCAGGGGAAGAAAAACAAAATTAAGAGACAGAAGTTTCAAAATCTGTTAAAATCCACCCCCCCCCCGGGTTAACTGAGAGGCTCTATAATTCAGAGAGGTTTGCAGCTCATCAACTATAGTTTATCGCCTTGAGAAAGCAAGAAATACATTGAGTGTGTGTCTTTGCAAACTGCTGCTTTCTGTATCCAATGTGATTTTCCAAATGGGGAGATATGATATTTTTCACAAAGAACAGGTTTCAGGAACAAAATGTTTTTAGCAAAAGAAAGTGTTTTCAAAGTTACCATTTCACCAAACTCCCTAGGCAAATTAATATATACACCCACTTCTTAACCTTGTAGTTTCCTTAGAAATGTCCAGTTGAAAGAACTTAATGAACAGTTGTGGGAGTACACAGTTTACACCACTGGTTCTGATTCACACACTGATATGCTTTGGCTGTCTCCCCACCCAAATCTCATCTTGAATTGCAGCTCCCAATAATTCCCACATGTTGTGGGAGGGGCCCAGTGAGAGATAATTGAATCATGGAGTTGGTTTCACCAATGCTGTGCTCATGGCAGTGAATAAGTCTTGCAAGGTCTGATGGGTTCCTTTTCATGTACTCTCATTCTTCTGCCTGCCTGCTGCCGTGTAAGATGTGACTTGCTCCTCTTTGCCTTCCACCATGATTGTGAGGCCTCCCCAGCCATGTGGAACTGTGAGTCAATTAAACTTCTTTCTTTTATAATTACCCAGTCTCAGGTATGTCTTCATTAGCAGTGTAAGAACTGACTAATAAACACACAGAGCTAGGAAGCCAGTCTAGCACTCAGGAGTTCAAGTGCTACTTAGGTTATTGTTAAGGTTACTGCTAGAAGCAAAGCTGCCATGGTGAATCTCCATATAACTCTCTGGGGGACAATAACTAGAGCAGTGTCTCCTGTTCCCAGTAGTCTTGCTTCAGTCCTTCCTTCTGTCCTCCACTCTCAATTTTCCTCTTCCAGAATATCTCCCCTAACAAACCAGATCCAACTGGATATCCTTCAGTTATCCATCTGGAGTTACTTACTGGCACTGTTAGCTTCATCTCTGCTTGTCATTTTCATGCATTTATATCGTGTCTCCCAACTGGACCATAAGTATTTCTGCATCTCGCCTTGGCTGTTCCTGTTCACAAAGTGAACATTCAATAAATTTTCTCCATTGTCTATTTCATGAGCTGACTATCTTATAAGACAGACCTAAGACATAGAGGAGTCTAGGGATTTCAGAAAAATGTGTCATAATAAAGAAAGATCCAGTAGCTAACAGCTGGAAAAATTGAGCCTGCTAGCAAAAAAATATTATGACAACAGAGGGAAAACTAGAAAAGAAAACAAAGTATGATTAGAGAGTAGCCTGAGTAAGAAAGAGGAGGGAAGGACCAGTAAAGGCTCACTCTCTGAGAGAGTGATCATGCTGTGGCAGTAAGGCTAGGAATCTAATTATTTGTTTTTAGGAATGTTGGACCACAACTTTCAAAATAATTTCCTTGGAAGACATGTGATAACACCAAGTAACTTTCCTTGATTTTTAAAATACTGTAAAAGTGCTTAACGTGCCTGATAAACATTACCAGAATATTTTAAATAAAATGTCACTTTGCCAAGCCACAACTCCTTTTGGTCCCATAACTTACATCAGCACAGCCTGGATTCTGGGAATCCCCACCAAGATTTTGGTGACATATTTCCATCACTAAGAAACAATGGAGCCAGCTTGAAAATGAGCTGAAGACCAACTCATCCCAAGAGAGAACCTGACAGCTGAGACGTGACGAGCTTGGCCTTTATCCTGGAGTTTGGTTGCCTGGTGAGCATATGTAGCCTGGCATTCAGCCTCATGGAAAGCTAAGGAAAGTTAGAAAGGATATTAATAATGTCCAGTGATGCAGAAAAGTGTCTTTAGTCCAAACAGCACTTAGATTTCTTTAACATCATTACTCAACTGCTGTTTTATACTGAAGAAATGTAATGACAATCTTTGTTTGTAAGTATATCAGTATGTTCAGAACCAAGAACAACTAATACAGATGGAAAAACGTAAAGTGAATACAAATGGAAAGAGAAGAACTGATCTTACCTGATATGTTGTATGTCTACTCAGAAAAGTTGGACAAAGGTGTTGCTTTGGCAACATGAAAAGTGTAGGAAAGATCTCATCCCAAGTGATCCTCCTTCTCCCTCACCAGTTGTCTTTCAACAAGAACCTTTGCTTTCTCTTAGGCATTTCTCTTAGGGGAGGAGGTTTGAAGAAGATCGGTAATTGACTTTTCATGCATAGTAAGAGACATACCCGGAAGCAGAAGACAAATGAGGAAAGGCCCTCAGAGTGAAAAAGAGGGACTGAGAGAATTAAAGTCAATTCATTCATTATTTGGTCTCAGGGTTTGCCTATGTCACAAAAAAAAAAAAAGGAAGAGAAGAAAGCCAGTGAGGAGAAAGATAGATCAAAGAGCCTGAAGGCAGACTAGGAGAGAGACCGCTACCAAGGCCATTCACGAGGAGAGAGGTTTGTTTTTAAGGTTGTTTTTTTCTTTCTTTCCCTGAAGAATAATTATGGACACATAATTCCTATGTAGGCAGATCTTTCAGAAACACTTAATCTCTGTTGCAGTATCCTGTTTATTTCCTTCATAGTACTTATTGTAAGTGGCAATTAAATGATCCATCTCTGCTTTACTTCATTTCCTGTTTCTCTCGTGAAAGTATTGCTGAGAAGAGGGACTTTGTCTTTTGAACAAATTGCAAGGATTCATCAAATAATATTGTTGAATGATTGTGTAAATGAAAATTAGAGTGCGGCAGCGAGTTGAATCAGAATGAGGTGGGGAAGCGTGGCTACAGAGGAGCAGTGGCATTTAGGAGGACCTAGTAACTTCTACGAGAACGCTTTCAGTACAGTTGGG